AATCGGGATGGGTGTATCAGAGACGGTGCAGTTGGCACAGGACAGAGCAGAGTTTGGGCTGTTGTACATAGGTCACTGTGAGTCTCAAGCGACTCGACCGCACATAACAACATGAACAACATAAATTGTCTATAAGAAAACTGCCCATCTTTCTTTCACAGAAATGTTAGTGGCCTCGAACCAGCGAAGTACCACCCATTGTTTAGCAGCCTAACTCCTTATGGACTATGCCACCCGAACTTCAAGATTATAAAAAGATCTGTTTTTAAAATGTACATATAATTTCTGGAAAACTTTGGGGGTTTTAAAAATTATATTAATTTATAATCAGATAATAACTAGATAAAAATAAGCTTTAACAAAATTACATGCTGTTGTTGTTCATTGCCATCGAGTTGAGGATGACTCATAGCAACCCTATGAACAAAAGGCCTTAAGCCTTTCTATAACTATTGTCGTTTCTCCAGGTTCATAGAGTTTCCAAAGGCATGTGTTTCCAGAGGCATGTTGTTTAGGAAGTGGATGCCACTTCAGTATCTGTAGTTCAAACTTTAAAGCTTATGGGGAAAAAACATTTTCTTTCCTAATTGTAAATACAAATAACTGAATACCTATTGCAACAGAAGTCCTTCAAAAGCACTGTTAAAATTTTAATGCTAAAATAACTGCCTGCTGCTCAAAAAAAAAAAAATTCGAATGCTACTACTTGTTTATCTTACTGAAGGCTGGGAAAAACTCTATCCACTAGCCACATGTAGCTTTTTCAATGAAACGTTTTAAATAACTTTCTTGGTCAAACTAGGACCATCTCTAGGACTCAGAACCACATGTGGCTAATAGCCCCATAATGACCAATGCATATTGGGACTATTCCTGTGATCACAGAAAATTCTTTTGAACAGCCATGGCTCTTTATCAAAATGATTATTCTTGCAAAGCAAAAACCTAAGATAGTGTGATTTTCTCTGGCAAAATGTGTATACTTTATAGGAAGTTATGGAAAATTATTAAAGCAGCTGCACTCTTGGACCATGAAATATTCCCACAGCTTTGGGTTAATTTTTTTTTTTAATTTTATTATTATTTTGTGTGTCTGTGTACCGTCAAATCAGATCTGACTGGTACAGGAGGAGACTGTTCCTCCTTTCCCGGCAGAGCATCTGGTGGATTTGAACCATGTGCCTCTAGGATTGCAGTGCAGCTTCTTGCCACTAGGCCACCAGAGCTCCCCTGGGTTAATTTTAAAAAAAAAAATTTATCCCTTTATTCAAACCATTTTATAACACATACTTAATACAGAGACTTTCAAACTTGACTTTAATGTCAAACTTATTTTTCTCATCTGAGTAGTAATTTAAATTATTATTTTAATCATTACTCCAAAAATTTCTTTTCTGGTCTCCAAAAGAAGAGCAAAACACTGAGAGAAAGAACTCTCATGCAAAGAGCTGAACTTTAGTTCAAATGCACTGATCTCATTCATTTTCCTAATCCTAACTTGAACCTATTCACATACTCCACTTAAAGTTACTAAAGCAGAGTAGAGCTGCTCTTAATACACAGAGAAATCTAGACACTTGCTTACATGGGAAGATATAAAATGAAGGTCTAAATACTCTTCTAGACACTCAAACAAGACATAGTTATATAACTGCATCCTTCCTCATTGGAGAAATTAATATCACTATATCATGAAAAGGTCAATAGTTATGTTGTTGTTAATGTTTGGTGTCGCTGAGTCGAGTACCACTCACAGTGACCCTACAGAATCCCATAAAGAATACAGTTATTAAACATATCAATAGGTCATATTATTCCACAAATCTGCAAAAGTGACTGCAAATTTAACATATGTACACTGCATCTCACCAATATCTCCTTCTTGTCCAGGTCTGGGGATGCTAATAGCAGTTTTGGTCTCCATTTCCAATTTCTTCTTGGTGTCCCCTCTCTTTCCAACAATATGCCTACAATAAGAAAAACCATTTACAAATAGAAGAAAATGAAATTGTTCCAAGAGTATACCAACATGCTTAAAATCTATATGGCTGAAAAGACTCCCTTTCAAAAAAGTCCTGCTGTAAAAAGTTAATACTTATAGATACTCAGCAAAAATTAGAAATCATTTGGGTTTATGAATTTGGACCACTTGCCTCGAGAACTATGGGACAATACATTTTTGTCACCTCAAGCCACACCTTTTTGGTGTTTCATCACAGCAGCCCTCAGAATCTAATGCATTGGGAATGATGGTGTCAAAGCAAGGAATACAGGACTCAACAAAGAGAAGGAGATTCTAAGGTGAGGAGAACAGTGCAATGTGAAGGTTCTAAGGCAGGAAGGTGTATAGCATATCTGAAGAACTGAGAAAAACCACTGAGTCAGAGAAAGAGTGGTATGATTTAAGGCTAAAAAAATGAAGAGCCTCTAAATCATGTGCAACATTTTGGTCATTCTTTTAACAATGGAAAGGCACTGGTAGGTATTAAGCAGAGACAAAAAAATAACTAGACATGCCTTTTTAAAAAAATCACTCTATCCTCAACATGAAGAAACTATTATGAGTGGAGCCAAAATCAATATAGAAAGACAGTAAGTTATTTGAAATAACCCAATGGGAATAGAGAGGGGTGGCAGCAAAGAAATAAAAGGTTAGTTATGAGGTAAAATCAACAGGACTGGGTGATACACGATGATGAAATGACTTGTATTGTTGGATGATGAAATGACTTGTATTGTTGTTGTGTACCACCAAGTCAGAACCAACCCACAGCTGACCCTCCAAGGGGGTTTCAGAGGCAGTTAATCACACAGCAAGAGACTGCTTATCTTTCTCCTGTGGAGCAGCTGGTGGATTCTAACCATGTGCCTTTGAAATTGCAACATAGCTTCTTACCACTAGGCCGCCAGAGCACCTGCTATTAGTCCTTACAAATTCTAAGGCATAAAACACTAACTAACCTGCTGGCTCCCTAGTAATCAAGCATCCAGACAAGAGTGGACCAAAATAACATGAGCTAGCATCTCACCCCAGCAACAGCAAAGTTCAACAGGGCAGCAAACAATAAATGCTGGTGAGGATGTGAAACTATTGGAACTCTGACTGCTGGTGGGAAGGTAAAATGGTACAACCACTATGGATTGTGACCTCAGGACCTTCTCAAAAACCTGGAAATAGAAATATCATCTGACCCATCTATCCCACTACTGGGACTATACCTTAAAGAGACCAGAGCCATAACACAAACAGATGTATACACGCCTATGTTTACAGTTGCATTATTCACAATAGAGAAAAGATGAAAGCAGCCGAACTGCGCATTAACAAATGGACGGCCAGAAAACTGTGGTACATTCACACAATGGAATTTGATACAGCACTGAAAAACAATCAACTTGTAAAACACTACGCAACATGGGTGAGTTTGGAAGATACTATCCTGAGTGAAGTACCTTGGTCACAAAAGGACAACTACTAAAAAAATAAAAAAAGGACAATTACTACATAACATTGCTGTTATAAAATAGGACTGACAAGAAAAGAGTGGATAGATAATGAACTCTGCAGTGGGACAGATGAGGGAAAGGACTACCTGAAAGGAATGTATGATTAGGCATGATATGTATGACAATTAATCTGGAATAAGAAATGCATTACAAAGTGAGCTGGGGGAGGGGGAAAAGAGAGGGTGGAAAATGTGTATCAATGAAGGAATGAAAATATAACTTTTCTGTCAACTTTCTCTAAAATTCCAATTTAAAAAAAAAAAAAATTTAAACAAAACCCCAAGAGTGGAAGCTTGAAGGACCAGTGTGTTGCCATGTTTCCTAGAGGTGTCTCAGTGCGCAGAAGCTGTGGCCTGACTCACTTGTAGAGCTGGCTGGGTGCCCTCACGGAACACTGGAAACCCCGTTGCGTCTGCACCACCACATAGGTTTCACAGGGCTCTTCTCCACACTCCACATTACCTGCACAGAAACCAAAGCAACCACCTTCAGAAGCTGCTGCCTATGGGGAAACGGCTGTCTCCCCACAGCCAGCCACTTCCAGGATGTGAAAGACACAAGATATGCATTCACGCACACAGAAAATAGGCCAGCATTTCATATTGCAGAGTACCGATGATATTCTTTGTTTCCTGTTCTTAGAAGAAAATGAAAAAAAATCATAATAACTATTTAAAATCATTCCGTCTTGGAACTTTGGGAACAAGGCAGGTGCACAGCATTATTAAACCGTTTTCTCCCAAAAATAAACAAAGAATATTTTTTCACTAATTATTTTACTGAGATATAGCTAACATTCTATAAATGTCACTCTTTTAAAGTGTATACTTAAGTAGGTTTTAATATTAAACCACAAAACTACTTCCACAAATGAGGAAGGAGTTACAAGAAAAACTTACTCTACACAAGAGACAGGAGAAAAAAGAAGGGTAAAATAAAAGAACTCAAAACTCCAAGACTAAAGGAAACAATGAGAAGAACCAGAGGAAAGACTCCATGGAAGGTCTAGGGTCTGATGAGAAGACTTTAACTCAAAAAAAAGATAGCAGAGAACCTGCAAAACCCTATTTATGCATTAAACTCATCCCCAAGATAATTAACCTGAGAATATTTAGAATCAATTTCCAACTGTTTAGTTAAAGTTATACTATAATAAACTTAGTTATATATTTAAAACGTCTTATATATGAGTAAAAAGAAAAAGAATTATAATAATTACAACTAACACTGTTAGGGGACAGTGGATAGCATGGGCCAGGAATCCTACCTGAAAGGCAAGAATTTTCCCACTGAGCCACTTAGACAGTATTGTACTGGGCAAATCTGCTGTTAAGGACTTCTCTAAAGTGTTAGAGTAGGAATGTTTAAAGAGTAAGATGTGCCTGATCCAAGCCACGGTGTTTTCAATTACTTCCCAGGCATGTGAAAACTGGAAAATAAGTAAGTAAAACCAAAGAGCAATTGATGCCTTTGGATAGTGGTGTTGGTGAAAAGTACTCAATAAACCACAGACTGTCAAAAGAACAATGAAGAAGGAAATAGAGCCAGAGTACTCTTTAAAGGCAAAGATGATAAGGTTCTATCTGACATGTTCTGGGTAGCTGTCAGATGGGGCCAGTACCTGGGAAAAAAAATATTATGTTTAGAAGGGTAGCCCTTTTGGAACAATACAGAGAAAATTAGCATGGCCCCTGCGCAAGGATGATACGCAAAGTCGTGAAGCGTTCCATATTTCTGTTAACTAGGAGTCAGTTCTGACTCCAAAACAATGATAGAGAAATTGATCTGCCCAACTCAGTGTTTTTTAATCTGTTTTGTTTCAAAATGTTTGTTATATTTCAAAATATTTTTATAATCATTTTAAGATTGCTAATAGACTATGTACTTGAGGGCATATAACAACAACAGACTATGTACTGAAGTCTAGGTCGTACTCCAACAGAATTAAAATAGAGATTGGGGGGGGGGAGAAGGGTAGCCCTTGAGAAGCCAAATATCTCAAAATTAGAACATAAGGAAATAGAGAATTGCTCCTACAATACAAAATACACTTTACTACCAACCTGACCAAAGAGCAATTTGCGTTACCTTCAAAGAAGTCCTCATCATCTTCTTCATGCTGGTAAGTCTGTTCTTGGATAGGATTTTTCCTATAAATTCGTCCATCAATTCTTATAAGTTGTGGGCGCAGAATATCCATAGTATGTTCTCTAAATAATATTGCAGTGAAATCCTGAAAAATAAGGTCACACCTGAGTTTTCGTTTCAGTCAGGGAAAAACCAAACTTGCCTCTACTCTGTGGATGCTGTAGGCCTGAAAGGACACAACTGGCCATGAGTTCACAGCACTTTCTCACCAAAAGGCACTGTTAAGACAACAATTCACAGCTCTATTTTCATAGAGAGTTCTGATAACCTAGTAGTAAGAAACTGCACTATGATCCCAAAGGCACGTGATTCAAATACATACACCAGCTGCTCTATTGGAGCAGGATGAGCAATCTCCCCCCATGAGCCTTACTGCCTCTGAAAATCCACTGGAGGGTCAGCTATGGGTCAATTCTGACTCCACAACACAGAGCAACATTTCTATTGGATTTTCTGCACTTGTAAATTGCTTTAAGTCAATTGCTGCATCTTCTAACAAAGGATTCCATTCCTAATTCATCTTAGGCAGAAAAGTAATTTTTAAACTATTACCTCCCATTCTCCCCAAAAAATGGCTGATTAAAAGATGCTGAGCTCGTGAGTATTCTTTCATGTGTTTATTGGCCACCTGAATCACGAGCAATAGAGAATACAAATCAAAACAATGAAGTATCATCTCACAACAGCAGAAAACTTCAATAAGATAGTAAACAACAGATGTCACCAAAAGGCTGGAGATAATGGAACTCTCTCACTGGAACTGCTGGGGGTGGGAAGGAATGTAAAATGGTGCAACCATTATGTGAAAGCAGTTTACGGTTTCCTTAAAAAGTTGAAAACAGAAATGCCATTTAATCCAGATACTTCTCTACTCTCGTGGCCTAGAGGTAAGAAGCTATGCGGCAATCCCAAAGGCACGCAGTTCAAATCTACCAGCTGCTCCATAGGAAAAAGATGGGCAATCTCCTCCCATGTGTTTTAATGCCTCTGAAAACCCGCGGGAGGGTCTGCTACGGGTCAGTTCGGACTCAAAAGTATTCAACAAACATATCACTACTAGGTATATATCATAAAAAATAAATAAATAAAAGATGCTGAGCTCTTTACACACAACCTGTCAATGACTAAAAGAAAAACTACAGAGATCTCTCTATTAGTTTAACCTAACAAAAGTACTGGGAAGTTCAATCCAATCTTACGCATTTATCCATAAATTTGCAAAGTGAAAAAGTATTTCACCGTTTGCAACCAGCATGAAAAGTAAGTCAATCAGGAAATTTTAATAAACTTTTCCTTGGGAGGAAAAATCTCTTAATTTTGAGGCAATCTTAATCCACTAGTTGCTCCGCAAGAGAAAACTGGGCAGTCCCTCCTCAAGGGACTCTGAAAATTCACTGAAGGGTGAGGTAAGGGATCGTTCCAACTTAACTGGCAGTAAGTTTGAGGTTTGAGAGATACACAGCGGTGCTCTGGTGACCTAGTCCATAAAGAGTTGTGCTACTAACTTAAGGGGGTAACTCCAAGTTTACTCCGCTCTAGCAGTTTGCATCTAACCACGAACCCGCAGGAGAAAGATGAGCAATCTCATCCCATGCAATTTATAGCTTTGGAAAGTCAGTTCTGACTTGACAGCACTAAAATATATGTTAGATACATATATATCAATCTTTACTAAATACACTACTATTCAAGCTCTCAGCAAGTTGCTTTAATTGGCAACTGGTCTGCTTACAGAACCAAGGAAGAGTACCTGTGAGAAATAACACAGAAGACAAATTCATTTAGAAGCCATTATACCCTAGTGCACTATTCTCTCATGGCCTTTTTTTAAAAAAAAAAAAAAGTTTTCCACAAAAGTTGAAGTGAAGTCCGAAAAATGGGTTTTAGAATAAAAGGTAATCTCAGAGTCAGCAAATTCATCATCTACCTTTCCCGGCTTGCCCTCAGCTATCACTGTTCAGAAGGACGAGGGAGAAATAACACATTTCGTTCTCCTTCGTGGTGATTTGGAAAGGGAGAAACAGAAGGGCTGCAATATCATAGAGGAATCCAAAGTTATGACTTATAAAAGCTAGCAGAAAAATCACTAAGCCAAAGTGAACAACAGGCTAGGATGCTCCCGCGCCAGGTACAAAAGCGACAAAAAGAAGGACCCGGAAGTGCTCTCCAGGCGCGCGTCTCCACGACACTCCGGCCAAGCCACGCCCACCGCAGTACGGACGCGCGGCGGGCGGCGGGGTGGCGGCTTCCCTCGGAGCGGGCGCGAGTACGCTGCCGTCCTCGTCGTAGGAAGCGTGGCCGCCCCAGCTTGGCCTGGGGGCGGGGCTCTAGGGAAAAGTGCCACAGCCTTTGAGGTAAGTAAGCGGGTGCCCAGGAACCCTCTAGAGCTTGGAGAGGAGTTGACTCCTCGGATCCTACCTGGAAAGACTAGGAAAATGGAGAGGGTGGGAGGAGAAACTGGAACCGGCCGCAGCGGACGCGGAAGAGGAATTTGTCTTAGGCCTCAGTGCGCATGCGGCCGAGGGCGGCGCCTGCGCGGTGGGATGGTGCGGGTGGTGTCTCCTATTTGGGGCCGAGCGGGCGTGTTACTGAACCTCTAGTATCTTTTTTTTTTGGGGTTTTTTTTTTTGTTTTTTTGAACCTCTAGTATCTTGAACCTTCACATCTAAGTTGTTTCACACTCCCCGCCTCATTCTAGTTGCAGCATCTTCTCCGATTCCATTGTAATCCATCTGTTTTGCGTTAATTTGTTGATGGAAGAGAATGATTGTAGCAATTTGCCTTTGTACCCCTGGAGGAACTTCAGTGTTTATTTTTCTTCTTTTAGTATTTACTTTTCTGATGAGATTTTAAGAAATAATATTAGAAAAATGGATATCTACTAGAAAGTAATTGGCGAATGCAAGAGCATCTCTGTCTTACATGAAATAAATACTTAATCATGAGTTAGGGGCACAGTTGTTCTGTGTCTGCCTAAAAGGATTGCCCTCAGATTTACCTGTCACCTAAAAAAATGTGTCATTTTCTTAGGTAGGCACACAGGATATCCCTACATTGTCACGGTTTCCAGTGATCCCTCTATTATCAGTGGTCCCAGTTTTCCTGATAGGCCAAAGCCAAGTTCTTAATCTTAAGTATTGGGCAAAATCTCGTTGAGCACCTACTGTGGGCTTGGTAGCCTAGTGGGAAAGTTAAGTGCAGGATATGAGGAAGCCCTGTCCCGGTCCATTGCCATCCTTAAGATTATTACTCATTGTTAGAGGCAAAATTCGTCTTTCTCACGTGCCCTCTACCAGATAAGATGCCCTTCTCCAGCACCTGGCGCCTCCTGATAACATACTCAAAAGGTGGGAGACAGAGTCACCAACTTTACTTTTAGGGAGTATTCTGGTTGCCCTTCCAAGAAACATTTGTTCCTTCTGGAATTCCATAGTATTTATATAGTCAGTGTGCTTACCCAACACTGTATTTCAGATGCCTCAGTTCTTTGATTTTCCTTATTCATCATCCAGTACGAGAGAGATGTGTAAAGCGATGTACAGAATAGGGAATTAAAAACAGTAAAGGACCAATCCTCATGACATTAGACTTCTCTATAGCATAGGTAATCTTTCCTGTGCCATGCTTGTATTCAGCTTCTATGCTAGGCCTAGAACTTCTTTCCTAGATCACAGGATTCTTCCAAAGATCATGAACCTTGAAACTGAAGTTTTAAATACCTTCCAGACAAAGATTCACTTCACTGCCAGAGTCAATTCTGAGTCATAGCAACCCTGTTGTTGTTCAGCGCCATTAAATTGAGTACAACTCACAGTGACCCTATGAACAAGAGATCTGAACCCTGCCCTATCCATTGCCACCCTCACCATCTCTGACGCACTTGAGCCCATTGCTGTAGTCACTGTCTATCTATCTTGTTGTCAATCTATCCTTTCCTGACTCTCCGCCTTTCTCCAATGGTGCCCCTCCCCAAGAAATAACCCTCCCCTAGTAGCGTGCCCAAAATACGTGAATCAAAGCTGCACCATCCTTGCCTCCAGGGAGCAATCTAGCTGCACTTTTCCCAGGACATATCTATTTGTTCTTTTAGCACTCCATCGGATATTCAGTGCTCTTCCCCAGCACCACAACTCAAAAGCATCAATTCTGTTGTCATCTTTATTCATTGTCCAGCTCTCAGATACATAGCAAGTGATTGAAAATATCGTGGTCTGAATCAGGCACACCTTAGTCTTCAAACTGACATCATTGCTTCTCAGTAATTTGAAGAAGTCCCTGAGAGCAGACTTGTCCAGTGCATACTGTTTCGTGATCTCCTGACTACTGGAACCAAGGATGTTGATTATAGATCCAAGTAAGGTGAAATCATTGATAATTTCAGTCTTTTTTCTGTTTGTCACAATTTCTTACCAGTCCAGTGGTGAGGATTTTTGTCATCTTGATGTTTAGATGTGATCCATATTGAAGCAATTTTAGATAGTCAATTATTAATACTTACTGTGCCTGTAACAGGGAGCTCTGGTGGTGGTGTTGTAATGCACTGTTAACCCAAAAGCCTCGTCTCTTGACAGTTTGAGTCCAAAATAGCTCCTCAGGAAAAAAATGGGCCGTAACCTACAGTGTGGTTTCCAACTTCTGAAATCCAATAGAGGGTCAGCTGTGAGTCATTTCCAACTTGACAGCAATGAGAAAGATGTCCTTAGCAATTCTGGTGTTGCAGTAATTAAAGCATCCACTGAATCAGAAGGTCAGCAGTTCAAATCTGCCAGCTGCTCTACAGGAGCAAGATGAGGCTGTCTGCATTCCTAAAGATTGAAAGCCTTGGAAACCCCATAAGACAACATTCCATCCTACCAGGTTGCTATGAGTTAAAATAAACTTGATGGTCATGAGTTTGATTTTTTAATATGCCTGTAACTCTTCCAAATGCTTTACATGTATCCACTCATTTAATTTTATAGTACCTCTATTTGATTGTTAGTGTAAGGCTAAGTTTTCTGAGTGTTGAATCATCTTGAAACTGCATTTCTAGTCTAGCTTTCAGATTAATTTTGACTATTACCAATC